CGTGCGTTTTCATTATTTAAGTTAATCGATAAGAACTTCTATTACAAAAAGGTGTTCATCAAAGCTCATTTTATTGGAAGGACAATCACTTGAATATTTGAAATCGATTAAAAATTAACGTCTTAATTTTTTTGAGTAATCAATATTTTTTAAAAACAAGTTTTTATAAAGGATATAACTATCTTATTCAAGTATTTTTGTACTATATTAATATTTCACGGCTACTTGTAATCAACAAATACTCGAACAAACAATATTCTACTTAGAATTGATTAATTGAATGGAATACACGTATTTACGCATATTCCGTTCAATCAATCGATTCAGGGCGGAAGGAGGTTTCCCATCACTTGGTGGTTATTTTATCTACGTAATTCATACTATTGCTTCCCTTACATGTTGCATGTCTTGCATAATAACCAAATAACCACAAATACAAATACTTGTCGCTGAGCTCAACCATGTTTTGGAGCATATATCGTCGTGGGGCTCCCGAAACTTGGTTGAGTTCAACGCCAAGAAAACCCAGGTATGCGCGTTCAGCTCCAAAAAATCCCCATTCCTTCCACTTCCCCATCTTCAGGGTACAACGCTGACGCTGCAGGACAGGCTCAGTCTGCTGGGGATGAGCATCCGGAAGGACATGAGCAACAAAGATTACATCGAGAGCGTCATCTGTACCGCGTCGCGCAAGCTTGGCATCCTGAACAAGGTGCACCGATTTTTTACTCCAGAGCTGCGATACCTGTTGTATAAAGCTCAGGTCCGAAGCAGCATGGAGTACTGTTCGCACCTTTGGGACGGCTCTGCCAAGTACTTGCTCGATGCCCTAGATGGACTGCAGCGCTACGCCTTCCGTGTTGTCAACGATCCTCATGTAACTGAGCATGCGGAGTCGTTACAGCTTCGCAGAGATATAGCGTCTCTTAGCGTATTCTATCGTCTGTACCACGGTGAGTGCTCTGAAGAGTTATTCAACCTTGTCCCTTCCTCTCCTTTCCATCAGCGGACCACCCGTGCCGGACTGCGTTGCCACAGTTGGACGGTCAGTTCAATACCGTCCCGCACTAAAAAGTTTGGCAATTCGTTTTTATGCCGAACCATCAAATTGTGGAACCAACTCCCGGCGCATGTATTCCCTCCCCTCTATAACATCGGGTCCTTCAAACGTAGTGTGAAGAAGCATTTGGCCAGACCGGCAAAATGATAGTGACGGAGTGAAGATATTTGTGTTTTCCATCCGTTACTCTCATCTCTGGACTGTATTCGCACTTTCCATCAGGCGCGGTGCAGGCATTTTGCCACAAAAATTGTGTCACAATAAAAAAAAAAAAAAAAAAAAAAAAAATATTTTGTCCAAAGTCAAAGATAATTTTTTCCATAAATTAAATTTGCACTTGAAAACGTCACATCTACATTACCACACATTAAACTACTGCTCGTTCACTGCGCTGATCTCCCTGAAAAGAACGAGCAAGAAACTCTAGGGATTGCTCTTTTCAAATAAACTTAAATGCTATGGAATACACTTTGAATCAAATTTGTGTGGATTCTGGAGCCGTGTCATCTTTCCATACTTGTTTAACACGTAGTCTTGAATTTAGTAATATGACTTTTCAATAAAAATATTTTTAATATAGTTTTTAAACTTAGGAAATGATAATCTTAATATATGCTCCGGAATCTTATTGTAAAAACGAATACAGTTCCCCATAAAAGAGTCGTTTACCTTGGTTAAACGAAATCGTGGTACCATGAGTTTGGAGTTAGCTCTAAGGTTAATATTATGGATATCTTCTTTCTTATTGAAATTGTGTATATTTTTACGGGCATATAAAAAAATTGAGTAAATGTACACAGTCATGATCCCAGTCTCCTTAAACTTTTCTCTGAGAGAAACCCGAGAGCCTAGACGGCACACGGAACGAATCGCTCGTTATTGCAATACAAATGGTTTGAATATCTGCTGCTTTACCCCACAAGAGAATGCCCATAGGACATTATACTATGGAAGTAACTAAACTAGTCTAGCAGTACTAACATCGGTAAGCTCACATATTTTGCGGACTGCGTATGCAGCGGAGCTTAATCTGCTGGTCAGGGAATATATATGTGGAAACCATTGAAGTTTACTATTTAAGGTCACTCCTAAGAAGACTGCTTTATTAACAAGGTCTAACTTTTCTCTGTTTATTTCTATGCTTGGACCAGTCGATTTTACGTTACGTAATTAAAATTTAAGACACTGTCTTCTTGGCGTTAACGCCAAATTTATTGCATAAGCAATAAATTGTTAGCATTAAACCAATAAATAGTATCATTAATATGGTCATAGATAATGTCATGTCTGTCTGTTTTAAAAATCAAGTCAGCAAACAATGCTATTTGGCAATGGTCCTTAACAAAGAATAGCAGATCATTAATATCGCACTCCCTAGTGAATAATATGGTAACCGATAATTCTAAAATTTACAGGAAAAATAGAAAACTATTTTTTGTGTACATCTCAGCTTGGGTGCATCGTATGATAGTTATTTCTATGTCAAAACAAAACTAATTTTGTTACAGTTTATTTTCTTTTATGATATTTTTGTATTAGTTTTACTAAATAAAGTTATTGATGAAAATAATATTACTGAAATTGCAGGCCAAAAGTATAGCATGCAACGCATCATTACCATATTATTCGCGTGTAAACCCAACGATTTCGTAGTCAGTATTAATGCATTACTGTATTATTCATTGAAATATGGTGTCAAAAAAGGCAACGGTAATATGATATTACGACTTTATTCGGATGAAATCCAAGCGATAGTGTAAACAGTAAGAGTACAATTACAGTAATATTACCACCTGGAAAAAATTAACGATTGCATAATCTGTACTAACTTGTTATGGTATTATTTGTGTAAAAAGGGCGTTTAGATGTTAAGGGAACAATATTATTATGTTCATTATGGGGCCAATGAAATTAATGTACTTTTATAAATCTCCATAGAAATATTACAACAAAAATGACAAGGTCTAATTAACGCTCTAAACACCAAGTATGCAATAAAATGATAACTACCGCTGCAGCATATTACCACATTATTCAGTGGGAAAGGCAATATAAATCAGAAATAAGAAAGGTCCAAGTATTGAGCCCTGCGGAACACCAATTTTTAACAGAGAACCTAAAGAAGTCACTCCAATTATGTCTACTTTCTGAATTCTACCGTTGAGATATGACAAGACAAGTTCCGACGCCTTGCCATTTACACTGTAATATTCCAGCTTCCTCATAAAAGTAATACGGTCAACGCATTCAAATGCCTTTGAGTAGTCACAGAAAACACCAATAGCATTCTGAGACCTTTCCCAAGCATCATAAATGGGTTTTAGTAACGCTACCCCTACATCGCTAGTCGATCTACCACTAGTAAACCTGTAATTGGTCACTATAAAAAATATAATTCCTACCGAAATAGGACAGTAATTGAGTCAGCATAACCTTTTCGAATATTTTACATAAAGCTGGTAAAATTGAAATGGGCCTATAGTTCTAGGATCAAGTTTCCTACCGCTATTGTCCTATCATAATTATATTTCCTACTGTCCTAAGATAAATACAAAAGTTCAAATAAATTATGTCTTTTTTTCAGTCCGTCACTTGTCCCAGAGACAGTGTCGCTTATGATTTCGATAATTTAGTATCAAAGAGCCACATGGTGTCTCTAACATGCAAGGTTGGACTGTACGAAAGGGAGCGCTATGGAAACTCGACTTCAAACATTTTTAAGATATTTTTTGTTTTAAATTGTTTTTAGTGTTTATTTTGGAAAGATTAGACATTGCGTAGGTCGGAAAAATGGAGCAAAGTAGTCACGAATTAGTACCCATGTGATGGAAAACTTATAAAGAGGATGTCAACTTCAAAGATGGGAAGATGAGCTGAAGCTAACTGCAGAACCATGTTGGAGAAGAGTATCTCTTGATAGAGTGCACTGGAAAGATTTGGAGGAGGCCTATGCCAAGAGGCACACTGAGTTAATAGATATAATGTAAAAATTTAAAATGCAACATTAAAAATTGTAATTTAAAAAATATTTATAACTCAGCTTAAAAGTCGTAATAAATAAATAAAATAAATAGATTAGAGCTAAATACATGCTAATACTCTGAAATTAATTTATAACATAATTATAGGTCCTTATTGTATGATACCGCAAGGTAAAAGAAAAATAGGAAAACCAAGGACCAGATGAGGGGACAACATCCTATAAACCATCCATTCTATCAACAGTAGGACTACACTGGATGGAAGTAGCAAAGGGTGAGTTTAAGTGGAAGGAGTTGGAGGAGGCCTATACTCGACAAGGGGTCCCTAATCTAAAATAACAATAATATATAAATATGTGATATAATAAAAAGTAAACTTTAAAATGGAAGCAATACTCATATTATGTAATAAATCTAAATCGACATTGTATTAAACTTTATAATCGTCATGGAGACGGTTGTGGGAGGTCTATGCCCAGCAGTGGGCTTCGTATGGCTGAATGATGATGATGATGATTAAACTTTAATGATATTCAAAACTGAATTTACTGAACACTACATTAATTAATTAAGGAATAACAAAGCCATTTGATTTATTTGATTGTAAAAGCGTTGTAAAGAAGGGCATTTATATACCAAGGCCAACCATTTAACACGGCAACAGGACTTTCGATTTCAAATTCGATTGATTTTCTTTTTTTACTTGGTGCAATTTTGTGTATGTTTTGGTCAAATGTACCATTCCAGATTCAAATTTAGGTGCACCACTCTCGCAGAAGGTTAGGTTGGTATATGAAAAAGCCGTACGAGCCGAGCGAGCGTGACGCGGCAGCGGCCGGCGGATGCCAAAACCGAATTTAATATTTTTCTGAACGTGTTTTGGTCAAATTCACCATTCCTTAACACTCAATCAATAATCTTGCTAAAAAGTCAGCTGGCAGTATTTAGTGGCGCCCATGCAGTTCATGTATAACAATGAGCCAATCACAATTTTACATCTATTATTGAAAAATGTTTAAAAGTCTCAGAAAATTAATAATACGAGAAGGTTAGGCAGAAAATCATATAGATATTTCAATCTCATTACTTAATTAGAACGAAACAAAGAAACGCCTCCATTGCGCGTCGCAATGCCACGAGAAGATGGCGTCCGTACATTATGCGCAATGAACGCACTAATATTTTATAATCCGTACGCTGTTATTTTCATACTCAATCATAAATTTACATCTAATTAAAGAAAATCAAGCTCTTAGTTGGTGACATAGAATGAAAAAACTCACGGTTATATCGAAACAATCGCGTAGCATGTCGGAATAGACTTCTTGTTCACCCATCCAATGGTATGCAGTTTTCACATCCTTAAATGTCCCTTCAGAAGCACAACAACGACACATGTTACTGTTTAATGCCAACTCCATGGTGGCTAATTACAATATATTTACATTAACACTGAATTACACTAAACTAAAACTGAATTCATCGAAAAAATCGACGCGACGCTTTAACACCGGCTGTCCGCCATTTTCTAATTCTAGATGCGTTTAGAATACTTCAACATACTTCAACTCAATTACAATTCATATAGAAAAGTTAGTTGTCGAATTTTTATTTTTCACAAACTTACTATAGGTACTTAATATATGTTTTACAAGTCTGCATTTTTTATTTGTCAATTCATATTCTGAATTAAGCTTTTTCATAATATTATAATTAGTACTTAAAAAAAATTTAAAATATATTTGAACGCACTTTAAACTTTCCGTTTTTATGGCTTAGAGGATAGTCAACGTTTAATGTACAAAATAATTTCAAAAGTTAAAAAAAAAAGAATTTATGTTACACAAGACGGATTTTGAAAAAGTTACATTAAATTCAAATTACTTTATGTAAATAAACCTTTAATAACATTTTATATTTTTATACAAACGGATGATGTTACATCAATAACTGTACAGTTATTTACCATTTTGTGTAGACAAAAAAGCACACAAACCCAGCTGTCAAATCATAGTGTACCTGTCCACTTTGCGTGTTTTTCACGAAAATCTTGTTAGATTTTATTAGATTCTTATCAGGGACTTAATTTAGACCATGAGTTCGTTAATATTTTGCCGTTGCTGTTTGTTGCGGCCACCTGATAAAGATCTGAAGACCGCATACAGAAGACTAGACAAAATTGAAATATACGGTGACATGCTCAAGGAATGCTTTGAAATTCACGTAAATATTATTAATTTCTGTATTTCGTGGCAAAGCCTAGTGTTTCAAGAATGAAATAAGAATTCTAATGTTATTAAAATTAAAATATAATCTTAGTAAAGAATTTACTTACGGTGGGATATTTTTTTAAATTTACTGCAAGGTGTGGAAAGTACAAAATTATAACGTGTTTCTATAGATGTTCTGTGTATACGGGCCACATGCAGCCTAGCGACGTAATCGCATGGGTACGGTACATCCGCCAACGCAGGTTGCGTAAATGTTTTTATAAGCTTGAAGATATTTGTTAAAAATTAGATATATGAAAGAAACTCCCCATTAAGCCTCATGCAGTGTGCGGATTGCGATGTGTTGTTGCCAACTTCTACTACGTTACCTATAAATATTGGGATTTAATTACTGGAGCAGTTGTTGGAACAAATTAATAACAACTTTACAAAGGGCAATTTTGTATAAAGTGATTTGGGGTGCTTTAAAGTGACCCTAACACAAACACCATTTCGTCGGTTAAAAGGTAAAACTCACTAATAGCCTAATTGGCCAAAGGGAGATAATTAAGATTTTGTATTTTTTCATTATGAAAAATCACTAAAGGACTGGTATGTATTAAAACATGAAGGACACCACAGACTTACTGAATTTTTCTTGTCATAGATGTTCTTCCCAATAAAGCAAAATTGAAAAAATCTAGTTTTTGAACAAAATGTCACTTAATGAGTTTTATCTTTTAACCGACGATTTGCACTACACTAAACAACTATTACTATTGTTAGGTTGGCTTAATTTTTTTTGTGGATAAAATAAATGTGAATTCAACTACCATCTCGCCTGATGAAAAATGACGATTAGTAACATAAAACTGTAATCAGCAACTAACTGCTTTATTCGTATTATATACAATTCTTGAACATTTTACTCCTTTTTTTTTATAATAGCAAGCTAAGCAAACAAAAACGAACGCAAAAAGCTTTCAATAACCATTAATTTGTCTCTTCATTGCACTCTTAATAAACCCTAAAATATTTAAAACTATCAACAAGTGTCATTCACTTCACAGCAGAATGTACCGTCTGCTCTCAGCTTAAGTTTAGATTTTTTTATTTATTTATAAGCACTATATAGTAAATTATACTATAGTAAAGTACATTATAAATGCATTACTATCTAGTCAAATACAAGACTACTAAATAATTTACATTTCACTTAAACTAATAAATAAACAAATTATACTAAGGATTCACCCACTAGCAATTTTCTTATTATCTATTCAGGCGTAGACACTTTTATCATGTGTTCTTTTTATTCAGTGTCACTGGCACTATTTAGTTTAATCATACACTAACTAACACTACACTAGTTCAAATGGTTTTGTCCGTTTTAAACGTCTTATAATATCTGTGTGGTCAAGGAGCATTTACAATGTTCCTAAGTACTTTGTTCTGAAAATGTTGTATAATATTTATATTGGTCTTTGCGGTGCAGCCCCAGAGCTGTATACCATAGGTCCAGACCGGCATTAGGACCTGCCTATACAATAGACAGTATAGATATTATTGCTTAAAGATACTGTAAAATGTTTGCCAAGCAGCCGATACATATTTCTGTAACGAATATCTAGTTCTTCTCGTTTTTGCTTGACGTCGGCTTTCCAGTGAAGCTTGACGTCAAGTGTCATGCTAAGATATTTAGCAGTATTCTCATATGGTATTTGTTTGTTGTTGACAAATACCGGGTGATATATAGGTTTCTTATAGCTAAAGTCTATATGCGCTGACTTTGATTCGTTAAGCTTAATGTGCCATATTTTAGTCCATTTGTAGAATATGTTCAAAGATTGCTATACTTTTTCTGTTGCTTCATCATAGGTGTTTCCAACTGCCATTATTGCTGTGTCGTCAGCAAAGGCGGCTTTACTACTGTTTTCTAGGTCTGGAATATCAGTAGTGTATAGCAGGTACAGGATAGGGCCTAGTACACTTCCTTGGGGTACTTCAGCTTCAATTTTCTTTAGTTCAGAGAAGGCTCCCTCTTGTCGTACTCTAAAGAACCTGTTAGGCATATAGGATTCCAATATTTCCGCCAACTGTTTCGGCAATCTAGACTTAAGTTTATGAATGAGAGCTTTATGCCAAACTTTATCAAAAGCTTGGGCACCATCCTAGAATACAGTAGAGCAAACTTTTTTGTTTTCTAGAGTGTTTTCAATTATGCTGGTGATTCGGTGCACTTGGTCTATGGAAGAATGTTGTTCTCTGAAACCAAATTGATGGTCAGGTACCAGATTGTTTGCTTCGAGGATGGGCTTCAGTCTTCTTAACAAGAGCTTTTCAAATAACTTTGACATTATTGGTAACAAGAACATAGGCCTGTAAGAAGTTGGTTCGTGTGGAGGCTTCCTAAGTTTAGATTTGACATTATGATTATTTAAGCGACAATGTTTCGTTAAGGCTCTGATCAGTATTTTAATGCTACACTGCTGTCTTAAGTGTTTCACACTGTAGACTTTAATCTGGACCCCGATTCAGAAATCTTTGATATTTTAACCGAATCTTTTGATTGGATGTCGTTCTAGAATCGACGGGCGCTATTCAGAACATTTCGAGTTAAACATTCGATTCGGGATCGGATACAATATGGTTATCCAACAGCATTTACGGAGTTAGTCAGTGAAATAGATTATAAGAAAAATGAAAATTCATGTATATACATTTTTAAGACTTTAAAGATGCAAAGAGAAATTCTCAGATGCTTTGCATTGAAAGAAATTAATAAAATGGAATACAGATTTTATTTAAAATAATAAGAGATTTCCATATTACATTCTTGCTTTGTAAACAATAGGACGTTTGGTAACTTTCTTTCGATAACTGTGTTATGAATAACGTATGTAGCCTTTGCCGGTCGAGAAGTTCGAGTAATCGTACGGGTGTGACGTCATTTCGATTCGGTTTCAAATATGGCAGTTTGACGTTCGATTTGGGTGTTGTGAATAAAAATTAAAATAAATCGGTCAACAATTGAGTTATCGTAAGGTTCTTAATTGACCCCCAGGGCCTTTGAGTATTTGAGACTATTGATCTGGAGATATTTATCCAGGAAAATGTATGCTCTGGTTTGAAGAAAGCATCTATATTAAGCAATATTTTGTATTTTTGTAAGTATATATATTGTATTTTTGTTTAAATTCCAGATCTCAATTGAAAGCACTGAATGCGGCATATGCGAAGTGTGCATTACACGGTTACGAGACGCGTGCGACTTCAAAATGCAAGTGCAGCAATGTCAGAAGGAGTTACAACGTCAGGCAGTTGTAAAAGGTATACTATTGTGGATCCTTCAAATAAAACATCTTTTTCTGTCTTCGTTTTATTGATTCTTCGATAATACTTATAATTGAAACTGAAATTTTTATGAATATCAACACTTCCCGGATAATAGTCTCGCAGTTAGGCCTGCTTGGTATCTTATTAGACTCCCGTTTATAGTAACACGGCATATCCGACACCGTACCGGCCTAATTAATTAATAAATAATAATTATAGCAAGAGCAAGAGCAATATAAGCAAGAGATTGCGAATGGACAGACTAGTTGAATCAGTGTTCACGTCCAATCGACGTTTCTACGGCCTGCCGTTCTTCGATTAACTAGTCGAGTTCGTTAACTATAGTCATCGAGTGCATAACCAGAAATAGAGACGAAATGTCGTTTAATTTGTTTGAAAACTATTCTGCCATATCATTACTGTGACAAGTGCGCTCCGATTGGCTAGCCCGAGTTCGAAACAATTGACGGGTGTCGTCAATGAGTGTCGTCAACTGTTTTACTTCAAATCGACCAGTTAGCTTGAGCTTTGCTATAATGGACGAAAATTGCAAAATTACATATTTAATTACCAATGAAATATGATTCCGTTTGTTTTGTAATTAGATGTTTTGCTGTTTTTCCCACACCACCGAATATAATAGAATCTTTATTACAATTAATACAGAATATTTTTTTGGAATATACGGAGACGTACACGCAGGTCAAAGGTTGGCCTGTCTATATTTCAGTGCAAACGAGAGTTGATATTTATAAGAGCTGTATCGCTAATGTGTTACCAGGAACATATGGCCCTTATTTCGTCTCTATTTCTGGTTTTATACTCGATGACTATAGTAGAATTAGTAGACGGCTAAACGATGACGAGACGATGCGCGGACTTGGTCGAATTACACGTAGACTTTCATGAACTATTTTAAATTTTAAATTCAGTTACCGTAAATTTTAAAATGATTAAGCTTGACGTCAAGAAAACGTCAAACAGTTTTTAACGCAAGCGGCATAGAACTGAATTAACTACCTCAGCTCGACATCATTTTTTTCCCGTACTGAACCGGTTCTATTGCGCGGGTCGAAAACGGTAGGAACACTGACTTGATTTCAGTATATAGTATAGAACACGTGGTCTATTTAGTTCAGTTGATATAAAATAAACATTGATATATGTAGAGTACCTATTGAATACAGCGGTTTTCTGGGAAAACTTCATTTTTTTTCTTTAGTGAAAATTTTAAGGAATCGTGTTTTCACGGTATGTATTAATCAGAGTATATCCGCAATTTTACTATATATTTTTTCCAAAGTTTTTAACCGACTTCGAAAAAGGAGGAGGTTCTCAATTCGACTGTATGTTTTTTTTGTAACTTCGGTATTTGTGAACCGATTTTCATGATTCTTTTTTTGTTCGAAAGGGGGTACTTCCATAGTGGTCCCATTTCATTTTGAAGGAAATCATCCACTTCTAAGGGTGGCTGTTCACGCATGAAGATTCATTTTATAAATAGCGCCTAAATTTTACTTAAGGAGCAATTATTTGAATGGTTGATTTTGCTATTTCTCCAATTCAAGGCGTTTTTCTCTCAATATACTTTGAGTAGTGAGAACCGATTTTTATTATCTCCAGTGTCAAGTCCTGTATAGTGGCGAATTTAAGGATATTTCAATAAAACTTAGCAAATAGTAATTCCACGTACTTTTGAGGTCAGTTTTTTTAGTACTCTGTACTGAGATTATTGATTCAATATTTTCACTGTTGTGCGGAATCAAAAGCTTAAGCCATTTGAGGCTGTATGCACTTGAAAACGTAATGTTTTAAGTTATTGCTTGTTCACTACGCTGACCCCCCTGAGAACAACGAGCAAGAAACTCTAGGGATTGCTCTTTTCAAATAAACTTAAATGCTATGGAATACACTTTGAATCATAATTGTGTGGAATATTCTAGACTCTTGTTGTCTTTCCATAACTTCTTTATCTAAAACATCGAAGAGTTTCAGTTTTGTAATATGACTTTTCAATTAAAATACTTTTAATGTAAGTTTTAAACTTAGGCAATTATAATCTTAAAATATTCTCCGGAATCTTGTTGTAAAAACGTATACATTTCCCCATAAAAGAAACGTTTACCTTGGTTAAACGAAATCGTGGTACCATGAGTTTGGACTTAGCTCTAAGGTTAACATTATGGACATGGACTTACAAATAAATGGACGACGGGTCTAATACAAAAACCATGAAAAAAATATCCCAAGTCAACCTATTTAAACGTAGTGACATGTAAAGGAATATGAAAAAACTAAAACGATGAATTTAAATTGTAATGTCATCGCAGTACTGTCTAATTTTGCTTGCTTCGCTGTCAGTCGAACAAACAAAGACTAAAGCGTGAATGACGCTCTGTATACGACTTTAACGCCCTATAAGTTCGGACACTTTTTAGCGCGGACTCGACGTCCATATAATTGTAAGCCAATGATTATGGATATGTTCTTTCTTAATGAAATTATATATATTTTTTATTTTTTTGACAATTTGTATTTTTTTGACAATTACTTACAATTTCAGATGAAGATACGGCACACGTGAAAGAAGAAATTGAAGAGACAGACGATAGTGTCGCGGTTACGGGTAATGTGATAATTTTGTTTGACTCTTTATATACAATTTAAAGCATTTTTACACTTATCATTAGACTGTGTGTATTTGGCTTAATTTGCATTGCCTCGGAACGGAATGGAAGCCTGCTTTTGTAACCATAGCATAATGAATTCTACTGCGCGAGAATTATCTGTAAGACGCGGACCGTTTTTTGGCTCATGTCTAGTGTCATTGTAGCGCACTATCAATGGGACTCGGGTGGGCGCTATTCAAGAGTGAGCAAGACCAAAAGAAACTTAATTTTTGTAGCAGTAGAGCTCCTTGTGAAAGAGTTCGTCCAGGCTTACCTATTTCTGCCCCCAAGCAGTAATGTCCGCATTACTGTGTTCCGGTTTGTAAGGGTAAGAGTCCTGGTGAAATTACAGGCACATGGGACTTGTTAACTTATGTCTCAGAGTGACGGGCGCAGTGGCGTTGTCCCTCACATCTTTGCGATTTAAAGCTCTGAATGGCACTGCAACTGTTATGGATAGGCGTGTCGTTTACCATCAGGCGCACGACTTGTTCGTCCCGTCACTTGATATTGTATAAAAAAATATTGTTTATATTTAATAAACAACATACAGCCATCAACCAAAACAGAAACAATCGTGACAATATCTAGAGTAGGCGTCAAAAACAGGTACATTTAAATTTAGAATTTCAATATAAAACTAAACTGCTAAAAAGACTATAAAATATGTAAAAAAGACTTGTAGCGGCTGCTGCGATTCATTACAGTCATGAGTATTTCGTTATGATGCTTCCATTCCGTTCCGCAGTAATGTAAATTGAGTGTAAGGGTGAGGCCAGACGAGCTAAAATTTTTTGAGTTGTGAGTAAAGTTGCGTTTTATGAGTTGCGCAGTTTGCGCTCGACTGAAATTCCGATGGAGCGCCAGACGGACGTATTTTATTCAGTTGCTTTTAAGCGTTTATACGGGGTGTTTGTGTCGTAATAGTTGTAATGGATTAATTAATAATAGTATGCATTTATGAAGCATTAGAAGACGATGTTAGAAAAAGAAGCTGGGTACATCCACTCAATATGAAACGATTAAAATATGGCTAGATTCATATATTATATTCAAGTTCATGTGAACATCCAGATCGATTTGTTAAGTACTACCACATGCCAATAAAAGTTTCTCAAGAATTATTAAGCCTAGTAAAACCTTTTATTACTAAGTCAGATACAAATATGAGACAAGCCATCAGTCCAGGGGAAAGACTAATTATAACAATGTAGTAAGTTGTTCATTTATTTATATTTTAATCTCCGTATCGAACATTTTCGCAAGAAACGTCTATACTCACGCGCATACTATACTAAAATGACCCCTTCCCTCACCCCTACTTCCACCCACGCCAGCCGGCGCACGATGCGACCGAAAGTTAGTCGTCATTACGCCCGTGAATCGGCAGATAACTCATTTTGCGTTTTCTTAAAGAATTGCTTGTGAGATTAATATGTTGTCTCAATTCTGCCAGTGTCGGTTATGTGTTAGTTTCATAAACATCACGGAGGGGGTGTTTAAGGAAAGTACGTTCGGTGACGCAGAGGGAGTATCGAAAAAAATTTGCACAACTTGATCCCTAGAACAAAAGAGACAGCACAAATTAGACGGCACATATTGTTAGTAACAATGTATAATATTTAAGTACAAATATTTATATGTTAACTTAAATATTAATATATTATATAATAAAATAAAATAAAATAAAAATAGAGTCAATTATACGAACAATATTCACAATTTAATATGATTCACATGAATAAATTTACACAGAATATGATATATTTTTGGGTGTGGACAGAGACAAAAGGCATTGAATAGAAGTAGGACGAGGAATCCTTTGGTCAAAAATGCCACGGGGGTCATCGGAGTCGTTCTCTATGTCGAAGTGAAGAAGAATATTGGTCTGGAAAACGAGAGTTTCATAAGAAGTACAATAGAGTGGATTGCGAGGAAATTGATTGAGCTGGGAGGGGAGTTGAGTAAATTTAATGAAGCTCTGAAGAAGGCAGGGTTTAGTGTCCATATTTCGAGAATCGAATAGGTCTAAGAGACGATTTAATTTAGAAAGAAGAGGATGGTTTGAATTTTGTAGCAGTTTGAAAAGGAATCTATCGGAAAGGAACTGTCTGCGTGTATTCAGGGGAGGCTCGCCGCTCTCAACCAACATAGCATTAATGGGC